TCATTACATACATATCTCTGTAAGGATCAGGAAAAGAGACTTAAGGCAACCTAAGAAATTCATGCCCATTTCAACACTTGTAAATCTCCTTGATTTCATCTGAAATCAGACAGGTCTCTGGCCTGCAAATCACACCTCTTAAACCCTTCCTTGCCCCTGAGCCATTCTCCAGTCCATCGCCTTGCAGTTACAGAACAAACACACACCAGGCTGATGTCCATCTCAGGATGACAGCTGGGCCAAAGCTGCTGTCCACTACCAGCCAAAGAGTACTGCAATGGCAGGGAAAACAGTTTTGAAGGAGACACATGTAAGAAACGTAATATTTGAACTGAAAGAATGGAATGGATTTTATTATTCTTAGTGCAAGAGAAGTAAGAGGACATAGGGTGTGCAAATAAAGGTGACCAAGAAGATTATAAGAATACAGAATGTCCTCTCCTGACAGGAGCTACACTGTGGCCTGTGGAGAAAGCTTCCAGCACAGGATGAGAGTAGATACCAGACTAGAACAATGCTGGGCAGACAATGAGAATGCAGATAAAAGCAAGGAAACCACCATCCAGAATGGGTATATCAGCTTTGAGATGCCAAATCCTTTTTCACATGAAAAGATCTTTAAGTCAATGAGATCTGGACTGGAGGGATCAGCTGAGCAAAGTCCCTCCAACTGAAAATAGGGAAAACTAAAGCCAAAATTACAGACTTGCTGATGGATGAAGAAAGCAGAACAAGAGAAGCAATACAGACACACACTGGGCCTTTGGCAAGTGAAAAGCAGGCAATTTGTTTAATGGATATCTAGAGCTAAAAGTAGAACACCAAATCCAAAGGGAACAAGATATCAAATCATTTCCTCAGCCAAAAGAAAGTCACAGTTGGGAATTACTGCTGTTCAGGCACCACCATTTCTAACAGCTGTGATATCACTCAGGACCCAGCTGACAATTAGTCTGGTCTTTTCAGCTCCTCATTGCAAGAAAGAGACAAATACAACGAGTGTCAGGACTGCCAACCACCACTGGCAGCTGTAGTACTTTAACATGAACACCATCACATGAATTAATGAGGTCAAAAACTAACCTGGGTCACCTGGAATGGATTATCACTCTATCCCAAGGGCACAGTTGAGATGTCACTGTCTTACCTGGGCTATGTGCAAGACCTGGAGGGGACAGCTGCACTCCGTGTTTCCATATATTCAAGGTACCACCACCAGATAAGAAGCCCAGGACAATTTGCTGACCAAGATGTAGTGTGCAGAGTGAGCCCTGCCTCTCGGGGTGTGACACAATGTCACTGCCCACAGACCACGTGCTTCGAGGTGGCGTTTAAAGGCGCTGGTCACTCAGCAAATGACAGTCCCCTCCTGCTCTCGCCAGGGACGGCATACGGACATCCCTTCAGTACAAGGGAGACGCCTAACTCCTGGAGCGGGTACAGCGGAGGGCAACAAAGATAATTAAAGGGCTGAATCGTCTCTTTTACAAGGAAAGGCTGAGAGAACTGGGCTCGGTCAGCCTTGAGACGAGACGACTGAGAGGGGACCCCGTTAACGTGTATAAGTATCTAAACAGAGGGTGCCGCGAGCATGGAGCAAGGTGCCGGTGGTGTCAAGCAATAACGCCAGAGGCAACGAGCAGAAAGCGATGCAGGGAAGGTTCCACGTGAACACGGGGAAAGATGGTAAAGGTGACTGTGCACAAGGTACAGGCTGCCCCGAGAGCCCGTGGAGTCTCCATCAGCGGAGATGTTCAAGAACCGTCTGGACGCAGTCCTGTGCCATGCGCTCTGGGATGACCCTGGGACCCACTGCGGTCCCTTCCAGCCGCGCTCCTGTGGCTCCGTGCCCCAGCCCCCGCCCTTGGCGCTCACCTCTCCACCAGTATTTCTGCGAGAGCCCCTGCCAGGTCTGCAGGCGGGTGCGGTGCGCGCCGTCGGGCGCCAGGTGCGCGGCGCGGATGAGGCGGGCGCGGCGCTCGGCCTGCAGCACCACCTCCAGCTCGGCGAAGCGCTGCTGGTCTCGCTGCCGCCGCTGGTAATACAGGGTGCCGCCGCGCACCACGTAGCAGGCGGCGGCCTTGCGGATCTTCCGCTTGGCGTTGCCCTCCGTGCCCGGCGCGTACGGCTCCCGCTCGTTCGTCAGGTACCGCAGGATGGCCAGGTAACTCTCCTCGCTGGACATCGCGCGGCAGGGGCACGGGAGCCGCCCCCGCGCCCTCAGAGCCGCGCCGGGGCTGCGGGGGAGCCTCCCGGGATAAGGGGAGGGGGGTCGGGATCGTCCCCGGCCCGGCGGGAGCCGCGCCCGGGGGGGAACTGGAGTGTCGCGGCCCGCGGCGGCAGGAGGGAGGGAGAAGCTCGGGCAGCAGCGGCGGCGGAAAGACAAAATGGCTGCTGCACAAGCGGAAGTGAGGTGGAGCCGCGCGCGCGCAGGAGGCGCCGGGAAGGGGCGGGGGCGCGGGGAAGCACGCGCGGGAGCGGCTCCGCCATCTTGGAGCCTGGCAGAGGCGGGCGCGGGTGCAAGGCCGGGGCCGCCATGGGGGAGCCGGGCAGAGCCGGCTGCGGGGCTGGGGGCGTTCCCGGGGGAATCCTTGTGCACCCCCGGCTCCGAAACGAGCGGCTGCTGCTCCAGAAGTGCCTCGGGGGCAAAAGCTGCGAGCAGAGTAGCGGGGTCGTTCGTGCCGACCAGGAGCCGCAGCCGTGCCTCGGGGCGCTTGGTGCCCGCTTTTATTTGTAAAGTTTAATTTGTAAGAGGCCAGGAAGAAAATCCTTTAGATGTCAACTGCGCGTTTTACTTGTCCGAGCTCTGCGGTGTTTTTTTCACCCGCAACAGAGCCATGCGAGGCAAGAGCCGCGGGATGTCGCGCCCAAGGAAAGCGCATCCCTTCCCCTGCGCTCGGTACCTGCAGGACCTGGAGCACAAATACCCACCAGAGCGAGACCGGCCAAAGGCGCTATTTATATAGAAAAAGGGTTCTGTATTTAGCTTTTCGGTTTATTTTATTTTAACAGTGGCAGTGGTCGAATATTGGAAAAAGTGGCCCTAGGCGGTTGTGGAATCTCTGTCCTTGGAGCTGCGTTCAAGACTCGGCTGGATACTAAGCAATCTCATCTAAACAGACACGCTTTGAACAGGGAGTTGGAGTGGATGTCCTCTGGAGGTCCTTTTAAACCCCAATTATTTTGTGGGTCTGTGACAAACTTAGGCGCTCAATTTTTTCTGACAAATACTTGATAGTGGATCAATTATGTTGCATTAAGTAAACACAACGGCTTATATTAATTTCCATGATAATTCATTGTATTACATCTGTGTTTGAGTTGAATAGCGTGCTGGTACACCAGGGTAAGGCCCTGCTCTGGAACAGCCTGCCTCACTCGAGGCATAGCTTGTGAGAGGAGTAACCTGATGGCCTGTTATTCTTTACTTCTTCTCACTGTATCAGAACTCAGGAATAAACATCAAGAGTAATTGTAAAACATTTCTGTGTACCACTGCAGTGACACCAGGCAGCCAAAGCCTGCAAGCTTCAAAGCATTAACAAATACTAACTTATTAGTCATATCTGCCAATCAGTTTCTAGATTTATCATTAATGGTATTTTAAGCAGATGGTAGAAGTTCATACTGATTTTCAGCTTCATAGCTGAAAACATTCACAAGAACACATCTGGGATGCCAGGGGCCTCATAACAATACACTGATGTGACTTTCATAATCACCACTAGCACGGGTAATTTTCAGAGGTGTTTACAGCCTTCAGTTTTAAATGATTAAAAAAATCCTTTCCCTGCTAACTACAGGCCATTTTTCTTCCTTTCTTTTCCCCTCGTTTCTGGCTCCTTCACTTTGAAATGTGTTAAACCAGTTTAAAAGCCTTCAATTTCACTCTAAACGTGCGTAGCACTGGCTTCTTTTGGTTTGTTTTAATAGCAAAAAGCAGAATTATTTGAAAGATCATGGTGCAAATTCCATTATTATTATCAAGCCGGACCTTTTTTAAATGGGTTGTAGCCTTCATCCAGACCCATATCTATTTTACTAAAACCCAAACAAGGTGTAAGTATAGCCTATAACCCAAGTGCCCATTACAGCTATTGTTTTTGAAGCCCAGGACTGCAGGAAGTTGAAACACAGCTGTCTTCTTGACTGATGTAAGATAACAAACTAAGTTCTCAAAGTATCAAGAGAAAAGTAATTGATCCAGAAAATAGTGAAGCTTTGGTTTCTGTTTTGGTTGTAGTCAGGATGTTGCTTTGCCAAGGCTATTGCTGTCCAGCAAAACTGGCAAAGTTTGGGCACACTGTCAGCACAGTGTAGTTACTTAGGCAGACAGAAGAATGCCCATGAGGAATTTCAATCCCTGCACTAAGGGAGCCCCTAACTGCATTCAGCAAGTTAAATATGAACCTTAATTGAGTTTTAACTGTGTAACACCAGCTGTATTTGAAACTCAGTCTTCACAGGCTTCCTTTACCTCACAAGAGCTTCCAGCAATTCATCATTTTGTAACTTCCTGACCCAGAAGTTGCATCTGAATCTTTGTGTTTAAGAGCCATGCAGTCTGTGAAACCATCCATTCATTCCCCTTTTTTTCGTATTTTCCTTATTTGATTCCCTCTATCTTGCTACATGCTCTCCACAACACAGGACCTTTTTAAGTGATTGATGGATGGCATTGCTTCACACACCCTTTTATCTTGGATCTCTGAGCTTAGAAACCTCTTTTTATGTCATTTGTGATAGATGCAGAATAAACTCAGGTGCTGTTCTGTCCTCCAGGCAAGAACACTCCTCAAATACCAGCTGCATCTTCCCTGCTACCTGAGCCGCTCAGTAAAGACTGGGGAAACGTGTGCTAATACAGCAGATTGTCTAAGAAACAAAATGTTTTATGGCAGGAAGGTGCTTTTCAGTCTCCAAAACCCAGCCATGGTTATTTCACAGATTCATTCCCTTCAGTGTATCTCACACAGCTAAGCAGACCTTGGCACAAGTAGTGGAATTTCATCAGATGTTTATTCAGCATAACCAACAGCTTGGCAAGTTAGCGCTTTCCACCAACACGGGGAGCAGAAACCTTGACTGGTTTCACAATCTTCTGCTTAGGTGCTGCCTTCGTAGGGGCCTGTAGAGAAATAATGAAGACTGAGCAAAAAGAAGCTATTTATCTGCAGTCCTAAGTGTCCCTGCATATACTCTTGGCAGAAATCAGATCAGACTAGAATTGCAATCTGTAATACTGGGATCACGTTAACAGATGTTTACACACAACACTAAGCCAACATATGGTATTAATTCATATGTGATAATGAAACACATCAATATATTTTTACCAAGTTCCTAGATAGTGAAGATGTCGCATTCAGACAAGTTTTCATCTATTAATTATCTCTAATATTAGGTCAGAGAATTGTTGTACTATAATATTTACTTATTCTGTAAAGAAGATTCATTTTATTAAGCTGTTTGGGTATGCTTAACTTCAGTACAAAAATCCAGTTGAAGAGTTTTCACATCAAGAAATTATGAAAATGCTTCCTCAAAACAGAAATGGGAATTTCCAATTAAGTGCCACAGCAGAACGCTGTGTGTTGTGTTACAACACAGTGTATTCCATTTTATAATTTCTATTTGCCTACTGCATCTTACCTTTGCAGCAGAAACTGCTGTTTTCTTGGTTGCCTGCTTAGCCTTCTTGGCTTCCTTTGCAGCCCTGTTAATTCACAGAAAAAGAGAAAGTTATCCATGTCTGCCATTCAGTGTTTCCTTGTTTCAGCACTGTAAGAGCTTCCCAAGATCATGAATGGAATGCATTACTGCAGACTTTTTCTCTATATTCACTATCCCCTGTGGGGGAATTTATACAGAGACAGCAGAACTGTGAGTGACAAAAATACAAAGAGAAAGGGCAAGGAGAGATCCTTCTCTGCTGCCATTATCTTTTGTGAAGATTACTCATTATTACATACAACTAGGTAGATTAAAAGCAAACAAAAAACCCCACCAAAAATCTTATAAAACACAGAGCTCACCTAGAGTTTAAGCTTTTGTACGAAAAGTACTGTAATCTTTGAAAAGCTTGGGACAGCTTCACTGATCTGACTTCTCACCTAATAGCCTGTTCCCTCTGTGCCTTTCGTACTTCAGGCTTCTGGTTCCGCTTGGCCATAATCTCAGCTAGAGAGGCACCAGTGATGGCTCTCTGAAACTTCACAGCACGGCGTGTGCGCTTCTTTTGGACCTCTTCCTAAGAGGGCAGGAGATGAACACAATTAGCATCACAGGACATTAAATACATGGCTAAAGACAATTACAGAAACAAGCTGCTACTCAAATTGAAGCTATTTAAAACTATACACTGAAGCAGAATTTTACTCCTCACTTTACAGAATCCTTCTGTTGAGTACAGAGAAGCGCTGCCCTACCTCCATATGGCCCCTTCTCCAGACACATCCTGTACTTTTCATAGTGTGCTATTACCAACAATCCTTGGCTGGCTCCCCAGCTGTCCAGCTATTAGTGTTGGAGGCGCACACATTAGACCCTGTATCTTCTAGGCTTCTACAGCAAAGTATGAAAAAAAAAATTGAAAGAATGCTAGAAGTTCAGCCATCTGTAATTCCTACAAGAAAAAAGGGAGGAAGGACAAGCCTTTGATGGTGTCTTCTGAAAGGCAGACACTCCACACCTGTTCAAGTGGATCAGATGCTGGGGAGCACTGTAAGCCATCATGCATCAACTTTCTTTCTTCAACCAAACTGGCAAGAACACTGACTTATTGCACTGATATAAGCCTTTCTCAAAGCTCCTCTGCTGTGCAAGTTTAGCTAAGAGCACTGTAGCACACCTCATGCTACATGCCTTCATGATTTATCTTTTCCATGCAATGACAGCTACATAGGAAAAGACCTCCTGCTAAGCTACAGCCCGAAGTTTTCAAGGACAGTATATCAGAAGTGTCATCCCTGCCACTCCAACCCCAATATCAGCTCCCTATGCTGTCACCATTCAAGAAGTTTACCAGATCAAACTATTATGAAGTCTGCATATTGAACAGATGGTAATGACCCAGCTTCCCAAAAACTAACTTTTAAGAACATATGCAATTATTAAGATCTACTTAATTAAGATCTACTGAACATACTGTGGCTCTAAGCAGCCCCTCAAAGAAGTGCTACAACACAATACAATGTTTTTGTTGAAGTGATGTGTAAACTCACATTTTCACCATTAACCAGTCTTCATCCTGTTGACTTGGGTCACACTTCTGCTCAACACTGGTACACTTAAGTGACCTCTAACAGACCAGTGACCACATCTTTTGCCAACTTACAGTGCCATTAGCTGGTATGTACTTACTGACTGTCCCTTCTTGTGCTTACGCCTGTACAGAACAGTCCAGTTGATCTGACGAGGGTTTCTCTTGGAAAGGAATGCAGACTCACATTTTGCATTCAAGAACTGAAAAACCTGGGAAGGCAAAATGTTTTGTGTACGCTTTGTTTCCATGAAAGACATTGTCACAGTTTGCATTAAGTAAGTATTCTTTGAGTCAGTGCTGTTTGACATTGACACTTTTGGAGTTCTTAAACACAGCTCCAACTTAAAGTTTTGCATTTTGTTACACTGGTCAAACTGATGTCTTGCAAGGCATTCTTTTTTTTCTGAGAAAAGTTCAAATTACCACTTGCATCCAGTGCTGCTGTGTATTTCGTGCACAGCATGAATAATTGTGTCCAGCATCATACTTTTCAAGCGTCTGTTCTCAAGCAACAATGTACTTCCTGTATGTGGGAGTGACTCAAAACTTGGCCTAGGGAACACAGGGAGACCAATGCTCCACCCGATTTCTTCTTGCCTAGTGACACTAACCCGTTGTCTAAAACAACAGGCAAAATGTGCAAGCTGGTTTGTTATTAACTATATAATTCCATTTGAAGTACAGCCTAATTCCCAGGAGTGCTCACAAGGATTCAACTAGTCCGTCTCCTGGTCATTTTGCAGGGAATTCGGTAGAGAAAGATGACTGTATTGGGATACTCAAAAGCCAAGCCCTCCTTTCACAGGCAGGGACAATCCTGTCTGCATATGACATGACAACTTGAAAGGGCTCTCCACTCTATTCTACCCCACAGATTTCTACTCAATTAATTTGCAAGACCAGCTGTTGGCTCCAGTAAATCTTAGCATTTGATGCAGGACGTCTAAGCATAATTTTCTACATAACTTTGTTACTTTACACCTGCAGCTCTAAGACTCCCTTTGGAAACTTTGCATTCATAAAAAATCCAACTCGAAGCTACAGCATGACACGGATCTCCTACGGAGCAGCCACGGCACCTGCACAGCGATGCTGTTTTCTCATACGGCTCACTACGAGCGACTCGGGCAGACACAACAACACGGGCCACATCAACACGACCGCAGTCTCCGACAGCCCCAAGTGCGCGGCCCCCGCTCCCCGCGCACCGTCCGGCCGCTCTCCCGGGCGCAGTGCCCTCCCGTCCGCAGGGCCCGCTCCCGCCCGCCCCCGCCGCTCGAGGGGCTCGCCCCGGCCTCACCTTCCCGTCAGTGCGGGCGTAGCGGCGGCCATGGCCCGGGTAGATCTTGTACCCGCTGAAGCTGCACAGTTCGACCCTGCGCGGGAGAGAAGAGTTAGATGAGGGCGCGGGTGCCGGGGGAGGCGGCCGGGGCCCCGCGGCGGCCTCCCCGCGGCGGATGGGCCCGGATCGCAGCGGATGGGGCGCTCACTTCATGATGGCGGCGGCTGCGAGGGGCCGGAGAGGCGGAGGCGAAGCCGGGAGGCGGTGTCGGGAGCGGCGCGCGGGGCCCGACGGGAGCGGAGCGGGAAGGGCAGGGCCGGGCAGCACCGCCCCGCCCCGCCCCGGCCCGGCCGCACCGCGGGGGCTTCGCGGAGCGCTCACCCGGCCGGGCTACCCCGGCGCAGCTCCGGACGCGGGACCCGCCGCTCTAGCCAGCATAAAAGGCGCGGCGCTGCCGTAGCGGAGCGGCCTGGCCGATCGGTGCCTGGCGCTCGGTTGTCTGGCGGTGTTGTCAAGTGCGGGGCATGGCGGCAGCCGGCGCCGCGGCCAGGGCGGGGGATGAGGCGGCCGGAGCGGGTAAGGGCAGCTCCGGACAGGTGCTGGGTGCCGGGGGGGCGCGATGTTGGGGGCTGCGGGTCCCGAAAGGCGCTGTGGCGCTCGGAGGGGCGCGGGGGGCTCGGCACTGCGGAGGCGGCGGCACCCCCTCCTCTCGGGGTGAGGGGCCGGCTCCCCCCC